GGGTTGAGAGAAAAACCCGATCGTATTTTGTTTTGTTTTTACTTAAATCAATGCAGATGTTTTTACGCCCCCAACCAAACTGACCGTTTTAAATGTACTGAACAACATATAGAGGCCTAGAATGGGTATAAAAAGTACACCAGAAGAATGGCGTTCAATTTAGTTCGGGTTTTTTTTTTAGTTCAGAGAAGGATTTGCAGGAAGCACTTTGATTCGTTTCTTTGTCTACCAGCTCGCCGTGCAGCTAGCTGCTTCGTGTCAGCGTGGGATCGTAGCCTGACATGGGCACGTATCTAAAGGTGGTAAAAACCACATGTACAGTCGAATCTGCTCTTGCGATCATCAGTATAAAACAATCACCCCGTACAAACAATCACTTTTCATTTCGCCACTTATGTCCTTTGTTATTTTTTTTATTTTTTTACTGTTGGGTTGTTTGTTTGTTTTTACATTATGTTGACAATGTGTAAGACGCCCGCCTGCTTAAAACAGCCACCTTTCTCCTCGATAATGGGTGGCCGTCTTAGGCAATTTCGACTATTTTGTACGTGAAGACCGAATGACAAAGCTGTCTTTCATATCTACACATACATAACGAAACACACACACATACACACACGCGCGCACACACGCGCACACACACACACACACACACACACACACACACACACAAATAAAACCACTAAAACACGTAGGCGCGCACATATTATACTATACACAACAAAACACAGACAGGCACACCCACAAACACATACAATTACCCCAGTTCAATAAAAAATATTTTTCAAAGGCCACACTAGCCCCGCAATTTCTTAACTGAACACCTGGTGTGAGCTATTGATGAACTGCTCACTTTACTTCTCCGTATAAAAGAGAAGTTAATTAATCATGTCACGCAGGGACAAAGTGTCTGGGTACACAGCGCGTACAAACAAGGAAAACGAATGTAGAGTTAAAGATGACACAAGCAACCATCTGGGCCACTAAATATCCAAAGTGACGGAAGCATTATCTCGAAAACATTCGAATATGTCTATGCCTCTTATTAATTCCACTTTAACATCATTGAGGATCATGAATATATGTGTAACAGAATCACATCGTCCGACTGCTGTTAAGATTTTACAAGCCTAGAAAGCAACATTTTTCAGGAGAGATAAACAATTGTGGAAGTACCACCTATGCACCACATCTCTCTCTCTCTCTCTCTCTCTCTCTCTCTCTCTCTCTCTCTCTCTCTCTCTCTCTCTCTCTCTCTCTCTCTCT